CTGGGCTGTGTCTCTTGACGGCCCCGGGGACGGTAGAAGCAGCCCCAGGGGCGAAGTAAAAAAACCTCTGGTTCAATTTCCTCTGGTCCTCGGAAATCCAGGATCCGTCAGCGTCGCACCGGCAAACCGTATCGGATCGGATCGTACGTCGGATCGGGCCGCATCGACACGGAATCGGAATCGGCCGGATCGGCCGCGCCAGGACAACAACGCCATGCAAACATCAAAATCGGAATCGAATCGGAAGAGCTGGCCGAAATCGACATCGAATCGGATCGACCGGATCGACATGTGCCCTGCAGAGATCTGAGCGCCCCAACCTTCCACACCCTGGCTCGTCTTGCGTTGCATGCTTGGCGCTTTTGCGGCCCACGCATCTTCCCTACGTGTGGGGCCCATCACGGGAGAGCGGCTCGTGCGAAGCGCGCCAACCCCCTATTCCGGCCTTCTCTCCTTTCGTGGCCCTGCCTTCTGCCTCTTCGGCTCTTCGGAATCAGGCAGCCGCCCCATGCATGGTCACTTCGTTGCGAGATCATCGATCCCTAACAAACAAAACACGGTTGCCAAGCCTGGACATACATTGGCAGCTCTCTGTCGCTGTATGGTTCATACTCAGCCGCGTCTACATCGCAAACGTAAGGGGGGGCGGGAAAGGGCATGCCGCTCCTTTACAAAAACCTTGCCCCGATATTTGGCCGCCGCAAGCGCCGCGGCGACCCCCAAAACCGACCGGGAGGTTTGGTTCGGGGCCGTGCGTCTTGCTACGGCCAATTGTCCACGATCTTGCTCACACCACTTCCCCAGCCGAGGCCGCCCGCAAAGCCCTGCCGCTCGCCCAGCGCCAGGACGCCCCGTGTTGGGGCAGACGGCCCGGCGGAGGCCGAGGCGGCACGCTGGCGGCAACCGGCGCGGCCCTTTGCCAGCTACAAAAAATGCGGACGCGAGGCGGCTGAGCAGGGGGGCTGGGGAGTGGAGGAAGGGGCGGGCCTGGGCCTTCGCTTCGCGAGGCCATCTCCGGAAGGCGAGCTGAATCCGCCAGCAACTGACCTTCGGGAAACTGCCCAAAGCGTTGCCAATGCCAACGCGGCTCCACGGAAGGAGGGGGTGCGGGGGGCGAGGGGGGGAGGGGGATAGAGGGGAAGGGGGGGAAGAGAGGGCGGGGGAGGAGAAGGGTGGAGAAGGCAGGGAGGTGGAGGAGGGAGCGGGGAAGGGGGGGAGAGGGCGGGGAAGGGGACGAGAGGGCGGGGGGGGGGGAGAGGGCGGAGAGGGGAAGAGAGGGTGGGGAGGAGGAGGAGAGGACGGGGAGGGGGAAGAGAAGGCTGAGAAGAGGAGGAGAGGGGCGGGGGGGTCAAGGTAGAGGGGGGAAGGCGGCTGAGCCTGGCGGCTGAGGGAGAAAAGGCTTTGGAAGCGAGGCGAGGCGAGGCAAGGCGAGGCGAGGGCGTCAGTGTCGGGCACACAGGTGTGCCCGTGCCCTTCTGGGCAGGGCGCAAGAGGCCGTGGCCTCATATCGTGTCCGAACAGACGTCGTGGACGAAGTTCCTCAATAATCAGTGCACAATCCAGGCAAGGAGCGATATGCGTGCGAGCCGGGAGAAGTAGAAGGCGTGACAGAGGATGTAGTATGTTCATGAAACTGGTGAGGATCGAGTCGGCGTGGTCGGTGTCGTGGCTGCTCCTGTTGATGGTCGTCGGTAGTCGGTGCTGTATGCCAGTGTCGCTGCTGCGTTGCTGTTGGTGTTGCCGTCGGTGTCGCTGTCGGAGTCGCTGTGTTAATGTCGATGTGAATCGGTTGATTGGAATCGTCAAGGGTAGAAATCTCATTTAGGAATTCCAGTGGTTCCGTGTCTGTGTCGGCCAGAGCGTTTACCATCACCATCACCGTTTTACCATCACCGTTCTGGCACCAGATATGCCCCATCCACGGCCCATATCATCATCATCGGTGTAGTCGGTGTTCCTGTATATTCGGAACGGTTGTGCTGGTGGTGGTGGTGGTCATTTGGCGTCGGCGCTGGAGGTCAGTAAAAAAAAATTGGTGCAACTGGCGTCGGGGAACTTGCGCCCTCAGCTGTCGTATGCAATGAAAGCGCTCTCAAGAGAGTACCACCATGTGGTGTCTGTCGCGGCTGTCAACCATATCACGTCGTTACTGTCGTAGTGGAGATATCGTCGTGGATGGATGGCGTCGTTGGTGTCGCTGTCCGTGGCTTCGTCCCTGGTGTTCGCGTGCAGGCTTGCCAAAAACTTCCTCACGTCGTCGTCCCATATTTTCTTTTGGCCTCCGTGCTGCCGGTGGCCTTGCTGTGTTGCGTCGAGGCTGGGGTTCCAATTCAACACACGGTGTGTCCATCGGTTCTGTGGCTGGTTTGAAACGAGTGCGGCCCAACGCCAGACTTTTGCGCGATGTATCTGGACTACATCGGGGATGTCGTGCTTGCTCATGAGCTCCTCAGCCCTACGTGGGATCCGGCGGATGAAGTCCGCCCACAGCTCGTCTTCGTCTGTCGTCTGCTCGTGGGTCTGGCGTGCGTCACTGTTGTCTTCTTGTGAGCTGGTCTGTTATGATGGGGAGGAGGGGTTGCTGGATGCGTCGTGGTCGCAGGAGTCGAAAGGGTGGGCGCTGTCTGCGACGTGGTTGCTGCGGCTGTCTGCTGTTGGTGCGGCGTGCGTTCGTAAGGTGACGTTTGTGCGCCTTCTCGGTGTTCCGATGATCGTCCGAACCATCCGTCGTTGAGTGTGGCGTACCTGTTGTCGGAACGGCTCTTTCAAAGTCAACGCTTCCGCGCAGTATGTCATCGTGGGAATGGCGGTGCCTCGGTAAAGCCTGAGCCAGTGATTGAGTGGGTGGTGCTTGCTCGTCAGTTCTTGTCTGTGGACTGTGAAGCATGCCCACGCAGTTTGGATCTTCTGTTGGATCCCAGTCGCCGCGGCATTTTGGAATGTAGCCGTCTGGCCGAGGTATGTCAACTTCCCAGTGTGAGGCATTGTTGTAATGTCCATGTTTGCGACGCTGGTAGACCGAGTCCGGGTCTTTGGTTTGGTTGGTAATGCTTTTTGTTTTGGTCGGATGTATTTCGAGGCCGTGTGGTTTCGCTGCTGTGACCAAGTCTGCTAATAGAGTCCTCAGGTTGGGTAGCGTTTGGCTAACTAGCAAAATGTCGTCGGCGAAGCAGAGGTTGGTGAGAACAGATTGGCTGGCGTGCGCCAATTGAATTATTTTTCGTCGCCGCTGCCATTCCGGACTGAGTGGTGCTAGAACGTGCTGTAGAAGGGCGTTGAAGAGAAAGGAACTCAAAGGGTCTCCTTGCTTTGTGCCGCATCGTAGTTTGAACGGCTTACTCGTGGAGTCGGTGCGCACTACGGCCTGCTGCTCGTGGTAGAGGCGTTGGAATGAGTGGACGTAGTCGGGCGACACGTCCTGGTGACGCAGTGCAGCCCATAAGCTGTCGTGTTCCACTGTGTCGAATGCCTTTTTGAAGTCTACTGCTGCGATCTACAGAGCCTGGTTCCATTCAGAAGCCCGTTCCCGCAACAAGATGTTAAGTGTGAAGAGGTGGTCGCGCGTGCCGCGCCGAGGTCGGAAACCTGCTTGGTCGTCGGGCTGGTGTTGATCAAGTACTTGTGAAAGCCGGTTGTATAGCAGGCGGCTGAATAGCTTGTAGAGCATGGGTATAGTACATATTGGGCGGTAGTTTTGCGGGAAATAGAGAGAGAGAGAGAGAGATCACCCGATTTGGGAATGGCTGTAATCACCGTCTTCCGCCAGCTTGCTGGAGTCGGGGCGTTTGGCTGGATGGCCGCGTTGTACAACTGTAACAAGGCATGTTGTAGTTCCCGGCATGGGCTTTTGAGAATTTCGGCCTTGATTCCTACGTCGTCGTGTGACTTGCCAGTCTTGAGCTGCGAGATTGCTGCTTTGAGCTCTTCGGCCGTGAAGGGTGGGATGTGGCTCTGGATGTCGCTCGTGGTTGGTGGTGTGTCGCGGGTGCTGGTGGAATTGTACAGCTCCTCGTAGAACTTCGCGAATACGTTGGCGATCCCTTGGCGGGTAATGTGCTTGGTGCCGTCGCTCCCATGTATCTCTGTGATCATAGTTCGCTTTCGTTTCGTTTTGATGGTACTGATGCGTTTGAGGTCTCTGTGTTGCTCCAGAATAAATGCTTATCTGCTGTCTCCGTTCACTGCTTGTTGTCGGATGTGTGTTTGCATTTCTTTGCTAATCGTTCGTCTTATGGTCGTGTCTGCCCTTGGAATGCCCTTGCGCTCGTTCACGAGGTGGGTGATGATGTCGCCACGGTTGCGGCCTGGCTCGTCACTTCTGCCGGTGTCGGTCGTCGCTGTGGGTGGTCGCGTCTGCCCGGTGGTCGTGCTGCGTAGCATGGCATTGTTTAGGCCTTGCTCGATGGCGTCGTTAAGGTCGTTTGGATCAGCAGGTAGACGGTCGCCCTGTAGTTTGGCTCTCCTTCGGTACTCGTCGGGGTCCGTGTGCTCCCATTGTTGGTTTGTGGAGCGTCTGGTCGGCCTCGGGCGTGCTGACTGTTTCTTTGCACTGGGTTGTAACAATTTGAGACGCATGTGTAATGATACGGCTTTGTGGTCAGAGTTGAGATCAACAACGTTGCTGGATTCGGCATTTCAGCATGCTGGTAGTACGCATCTGTCCACCTACATGTAATCATACTGCCTAGGTGTGCCACCCGTTGTAGTGTGGGTAATCAGCTTGTCTTGAGGCAGGAAAGGGGGAAAAGGAAGGGAGGACGAGGGGGAGGGAGAGGAGGATGAGGAGGAGGAGGAGGAGGAGGGGAGGAGGAGGAGGAGAAGAGCTGATGCGGGGCTGGAGTGATGGGTCGGCCGAGGACGAGGAGGATGAGGAGGATCTGAAGGTGGCTGAGGAGAAGACCTCCCCATGGAGATGCATGCAGTCTAGCGCATGGCACGATGTTCAACACCTCGCACGCGCGTGTGCGCGCGCAGAGCTACTGCCAAGGCGCAGACGGCGCTCACTTCTGCTGCGCGTCGCGCTGGATCACGTACCTGTTCGAGAGGATGCCTTGGTTCGTGCAGACGTCGATCGGGCCACCTAGGTAGTTCGCCTTGTGCGTGGTCGTGAACCGTCTCTTGTGGCAGTAATGCATACCGCTGTCGAAGACGATGCTGGACTCGTTCTTCATCGGGGGCTTGAAACTGGGCTCCATGAGGCGGCTCCGGAAGGCGTTCGGGTGGTACGGCGTCAGAGGCTTCTTGCTCATGGACGCGTAGCAGTTCTGGTTCTCTTTGAAATGCTGTCTGTACTCTGAGCTCTGCTCGACCTTAAAAGCACCTCTCGCGATCCAGACTGACCCATGACCCGATCGTTTGAATCCACCCTGGAGCGGGCAGCACCACACCGACCGAGGGCGATCTTCCGAGATCGCTGATCAATCGGTGGATCGAGCAGGTCGGCGGCATGATCGAGCCCTGATCGACGGATCGGAACTTCCACTAAGAGTACTGACCATGCTGGCACCAGCCAGCCGCGTTGAGCGGGCGCTCATGGGCATGCTCGCTGGGCGCTGGCTCTGGCTGCGAGGGGACGCCTCCGGAGTGGACTTGCCTCGAGGAGTCGTCATCCTGCACTTGCACTGATGTCGTCGCGGGGACCCGTGGCTTGGAAGATGCTCGAGCCAAAACCGCTGCTAGAAATGGCCCCTAGGTGGGGCAGCTCCTGTGTGGGGGTCGAAGAGATGGAAAGAGATACCGATCCTTCCCCTACTCATCTCCCGCTTTCCCCCCGGCTGGAGAATTGCTGCTGCCCCGACTCTGGACCCCAACGGGTGGGTCTTGCAAGCGACAGTTCGCCCGCTTCGAAAGCTGATCTGCATAGCGAACCACCACGCCTTGGAAATTTGGCGTCGGACTCTAGGCCCAAGATAAGGGGACGGCGGGACAGGCATGATCAGGGAGGATGCGGCGAAGAGGGCGGAAGGGAGGTGTGGAGGAGGAGGAGGAGGAGGAGGGCGACGATAATTGCGACGACGGCGAGGCGGAGGGAGAGGAGGGGGAGACGGGGGGTCAATGGGGAGGGGGGCAGAGGAAAGGGAGGAAGCAAGAGAGAGGGAGAGGGGGAGATGCCAGGGGGAAACAAAAACTAGAAACGACATCAGACCCCAAAGAACTTCAAAACAAACGCTTGTGTTATCCCCACCCAAAGAAACGGAAATTCCTGGTAGCAGACCAAAACGTTTGAGTCTTGACGGTCGGATTCGACAGACACCCTGCCAGCATATTCGCTAGTCCAGGAAACTGGTTCGACTACCTTCAAACGAACTTTATGCATCAAATATGCCTCGCGGATCATGACAGCTGGAATCCTGGCGGACTCACAACTAAAACTAATGGCCCAGGTAGACCTCTGCCAGACCACAGAAAATGGCGCGCTGACCTGGGGCACAAACCGAATAGACACGAAGGGGCTGCGACGAGGTGTCGGTTGGCATCGGGGGCGGATGAGACCGATAGGCCTAAGAAGATCACTTTCTCAGACGAGTGTGCGAACGAACTCAAACAAATCAGTTCAATGGCGCGAGAGCGCCCCGAAGCCAAATTGGCTGCAAGGATACTTCACAAAAGGGGAGAGGACAGGAGGGGAAAATGAAAACAGCGGGACCACTTTCAGCGGGACCGACAGGGGGCCAGGGACGTCACCAACCCCCCGAGACACCCCGGATAGCTCACAGTAAACCGGATCCTCCAGACGTCGTTCCTCGCTCTCCCTCGCAAGCTCATTCCTCGAAGCAGCTCTTGAGTGGCACTTCAATGAACTGTTCAGTGCTCTCTCCGACATGTGACAGTCTCATCTATCAGGCAACTAGTACCACGGCACAGAAGATCGGCCAACGCCAAATTGCCCTTGCCGGGGTCAGCCTTCGTGAGGGCATCCGCGGCCATACGGCCGTGTGGGACCCATCTGATCTGGGATCCCACCGCACACATTGCGTCCCTCACTACTGCCAGCTCGATTGAGGTTCGACGATCCTGCTTCGAGCCAGCACTGTCTTTACGGAGTGTATCATACACTGCTTGCTCAAGACGACCGAGAAAGCTGCGGAAGCAAGGTGCCAGTCCAGCCGATTCACGTCGGCAAAAAACTAGATCTCCCCACATCACCTGGAGCCACTGTGCTTCCGCGAGGGCGGCTGACAAACTGAGCGTCTCAGCCGCGCTGGTGAACGAAACAACTGTCTTCAAACGTGCGGAACAAGCCAGGAGGGACGCCTGGGCCCGACGTATCTGACGGATTTCCGAGTCCGCCGCGACGACGAGGAAAGCCCCCTGGGCCCCGTTCCTCCGGGCGGAGCCTGGGCCCCCCGGCGTCGGATATAGCGGCGAAAGCCAGAGACGCTGGATCGAGCGGCCACGCCACTATGTGCTGAGAGGCGGTCGCCATGAGATGCCGCGCGATATTGAGACAAACTAAAGCATCCCCCACGGTGGGACTCGGAAGGGCGGCCGACTGCAACGAGGCCCCCCCTGACACGCCCGGTCTAGTTTCCCGAGCTAACCACTGGATCTGCGCCACCATAATGCGATACGCCTTAACTTCTTCCGGGGACAAGATAGAGGCCGGGTCCGCGCGCCTTGGCTTCTCGAGCCTCATAGGCGCAAGCTGCTCAAGTATGTAATTGTCCGGGTCCACCGCGATTTTCCCTCCCGACGCCCGTTTCAAGTGACGGCCGGCAAAATCTGACTCTCCCATCTTCCATTTTCCGGAATCGAAGCGAGCCTGAACACGGGTCCTGAGACCGCCCCTTTCCTCGGGGTGGGCCGCCAAAATCAGGCCATCGACCTCGATGAGACACATGGCCCTGGGACCTCCCGTGGAAGAACGCTTCGCACACAGACAAGGTTCCAGCAGCGATTCTTGGAAGCCGTCACTGGCAAGGAAATCTGCAAGGGCACGGCGCCACAAGAGTGGCGCATCGTTCAAACCATACACGGGGGCCACGAGCTCGATGAGCTCGCCCGGCGCCGAGTTCAAACCTTGGCATGGCTCGCAGAAAATTGCGCCTCCTGGGCGTCGCAGCCGGTCTGATTCGCAGAACGCGTTCTTGGCGTCCGCCACCTCGAGTGTCCAGTTGAGAGAGGCGATAGCCAGAGGCGTCAGCATCAGGCTCTCGGCTTGCGGGGCGGGGGCATACACTTGAAGCCCCCCCCCCTTCTGGGTCATGGTGCCCTTGAACGCACCACCTGGACTTGGCCGCTGGGGCCGCCCCAAAACCTTCCTGAGGCTTACATCTGCGAACCATACGAGACCCCAGAACTCGGTCAGGGCATCGGCGCCGAACCAGTTGGGCCTCGGCGGTCGGGGCGATCCGAACAGCCCCGGAACAACTTCCTCGAAGTTGATGTGCTGCAGCTCGGTGTCGACCCAGGGGTCGGGGGTCTGATTCCAATTCATCTCGATCTCTGACCCCGGTGTCGCGCTGAGCCCTCAGCGCCTGCCGGCGTATGTGCGAAAGCGAGCGGGCGCTCCGGGTCTTGATGATCTTGACCTTCTGAGTCGGCATCAGGCGATCGAGACCGTAGAAGGCGTGGGGGTCGCTGGCCCGACTGGTCAATACAAGAGCTCGAGCCGGGGTGTGCTACGGAGGGTCGGCTAGCCCCTGGGCCTGAAAACTGCCTGGTCCTGGTCCCCGACTTTTCTGAAACAAGGCTGGAGGAGAGAGATCGAGTAGAGAGCGAATGCTGTCTCTCGCAGGCAGCGCAGCCCGCCCCGCCCCCTACGTCCTGACTGAGAGCCTCGATCGGGAACTTCGTGTACCCGATCCAGCGGCCGGCGAACTGCAGCGCCTCGCTCGGGGCGCCGTCGGTCCAGGAACCCTCGAGGATGCGGCAGCCGGACGCGACGTCGTCCAGCATCTGGTAGATGACGCGACCCGGCCCTGAAGACGAAATCGAGGCTGGAGGTAAACCCGCCCCGGCATAGGAAAAAGCGCCCTGCCTCGGATTCACGTGCGCGCGCCGAACGACGCTCTCCAGCTGGACCCAGCAATCCTGCAACTCCGACGGCGCCTCGAGCCACGAGCGAGCCCCACCGGCCTCCACAACGAAGGGAGGGAACTTGTCCGCCTGATCCCGGTGAATCGAAAAATCCGTGGACTCGCGGCCTATGAGCGAGACAGCTCGGTGACCCGAGGGAAGCTTCAGCAACTTGAGCTCCTGGCGATTGCCTTCCTCCCCGATCGTCATGACGTCCCGGCGAAGGTCGATCACGGACTTCAGAAAATCTAGAAACTTCGCTGGCAGCAGTGGAGGGCACGGGCGAGGCAGAATCAGAAATTCGACCACTCCACATGCTTGAAGAGAGACAGGGACTTCAGCTACTCCGCTCGGCTTGACCTTCCCGCCCGCTCCATTGGCGGTCGGAACCTTGTCGGTGTCAAAGATGTGCACCTCATATTCTCTCTTCTTAAACGCCGATCTGAGCCTATCGATATCTGGAGTGCCTATCAACGCCTGTCCGGCCGCCGTGCCCACCAGGGCGTACTCGTCCATGTCCGGCAACGTAGCCGCTGCGAGCATCTCTAGGTCCACCTGACCCGGAGAGAGCGACCGCTGGCCCACCTGGCCCGCGATCGTCTTGCCCGCGGCGTCCGCGAGCGGCCCCACCTGGCCCGCCTCATGGAAGATCGCAGTCCAGCTCGTCCCGGAGTGAGCACTCGAACCGTGCTCACTCCGGGACGAGCTGGACTGCCCCTTTTCCGGCCGCGGCCGGTCGGGGTGACTCTGACTTCAGGCGATCTGCATTACTTCTGTACGGCTTCCTGCAGTCCTCACGCCAGTGCCCCTTTCCCCCACAACTCGAACAGCGTGACCTCGTCTTGGAATCGCCCCTGGTGACCTCCTTCGTGTTCTTGCGCCTATCGAAGAAGTCCCTGTCCACACGCTTGTTGGTCTTGAGCTGTCTGGCCTCTGCCCATGTCCGGCGACGTTGCGGGAGCGTCACCTCTGCAAAAACGTCCAAAATGTGCTCCTCGCCCAGGTCCTGGGAGTCCAGGGAGACGAGGATGGTGGCCAGCTCCTGCTCATCAAACTCCATCTCGAAGAGGCCGAAGCAATCACTGTCGTCGCACACTCCGCAGTCGTACTCATCGGTTTCCTCTTGCACCGTGGCTGCGAAGGTCTTTGCCTGCATGGCCGTAGGGGCCCGGGGAAACGTCTGCTTCTCCGTGATGTCTAGCTCGAGCAAGGCGGCGCGAACTGTGTCTATCGTCTTCTTGCCGGCCATCAGCGTCCTCAGGTTCAGCCTCAGCTGAGGTGTCAGATTCGCTCCTTCCTCGTAGTACCTGGCCTTGACCTGGTCTGGAAGCGTCAGTCCCAGCCTTTCGGCTGCGGCGATCTGCTGACATCGCCTAAATACAAAGTCTGTAAGCGTCTCCCCCTTCCGTATGGCGAAATCGAACAATGATTCGTTGCGTGTTTCCCTTTCTTTGTTTCCCGGGCGTTCCCCGTTCAACAGCTTGAGGTGGTCGGTGACCTTCTGGATGCCGTCACTCTCGACGACCAGGTGCCTGACGCTCTTAAACTTCGCCTGCAGCTCGATGGGAAACGACTCGATGATGCGCCCGGC